TGATAGAATATATGATTAAATAATAAACAAAATTTGAATTATTGCGTGGAATTAGACAAAAATGATATGGTTGCATTTATTTTTATTCTGATTATTTACTGATACTAATACTCGTAGTACGAAATAATATTTAAGTCAAACTAATCAATCTTGGTTTAGTAGAATGTTTAAAATAATATCTTAATATGCATTTTATATAAAATAATCTATACGTTGTAAATATTCACATTACAAAAAGCCGTTACAGAATAAACTTAGCGTCAGTTTTAACAACACTTCCAGTGGCCTGTGGTGCGACGATGATAAGATCTCGGACTGCATCTGCCGGGGCACATGGGGGTAGGGGTTGGGGTTCAATTCCGGTGTTTTGTTTGGCGGCTGTGAGAACTTGCTATGATTGGTTTATGATTTGATTTCGTATTTACATTAATTACTAGTATTCTTTTAAATTAGCTAAACATGTAGTAAATGTTTAATTAACTAAAAGTAGCTAAGAATCTAGTTTTATACATTTATTATTAAATATGATAAAATTAATTGGACAAAAAACCTATTATCTAAATATACATAGTATAGTAATTTTTGCTGTTATCATTATAATTACAAATTGTAAAAGTATTCCTATAGTAAGTATAGTATAGTGTTGCTTAGTAAATTGTCTTTTTTAAATAATAGCAAACTAAATTAAAATTATTATTCTTAATTAATTTTAACTTTTTAAATTACAGATAGAACAATTATGAGTATTTAATAATTAATATTATATTTTATATTTTTCTTTACGGTTATAAATATAATAATGGCAACACTAAATATAGATTACTAATTAATATTTTTAAAATTGTAATAATTATAATAATAACAGCAAAAATTAAATAAATAATATTCCATATTCAATTATAAAACTAATTAAAATTATACAAATGTTTAAAGTTATAAAATACCTATTGTAAGGTCAAGTACCTTACAGTACATTTGTTGCAATTTTTTGTTATTTGTGGGTAGGCTGTCTGTAACAACTATACCTTCGAGACATCTAACACCTCAGTCTCGTGACCATGATTGCTGTAAAGCATTCGAAATTTCGGGAACCAAAAATCAAAATAAATCCGCAAAATAATCCGAAAAGATAGTTTTATTTAAAATGTCAAATATTCGCGTAAATCTAAGAAAGTATTATTCTGTCCAGTGTTTTTTCCATGATACGTTCCCAGAGAGACAGACAAAAATTCTAAAAACTATAAATTCGGCCTCTGTACCTATCGATAATAATGACTATTTCATTAAGATTTTCAAAAAAATAAATTAATGTACATATTCGACTCAGAATTTTATTATATGTATAGATATGGCAACTACATAAATAAAATCAAGGCTATCACTCGTGTTTAGCACAACAGCCATACCTAGCAGCTCTACAATAAAAGCCATGGTTCCCGTACCAAGTTGTGTCTATATATTGTTCGACAACAAACTTTGTTTAGTTTTCGTATTACAGTCGCATCGTTTTGCCGATTTTTGTCATCGTAGTAGGGGGCAGGTAGGGCATGTGGCGAGATGGCGCGATAAAAGGAATTATTCATACGCGTTATCGGGTTGCCATCGCTGGTGGCATTGTGAACGAGGGGTGGCTCCTGGTGTACGAGCACTGTCAAAACGTCGTATGTGTATTCGGCCTAATGTGACGCTGCCGACTGATTATTGTTTTATTCCGTGCTAACTGTAATGGCGATCGATTTTGTGCCCGTCAAAGGATTAGAGAATTTAATTGAATATCAGTTTTGGAATTAGCGAGTTATAAGCAGATTGGGTTATGATTGACACTAAGTTCTGAGTGAACTGAATTAATTATCTGTAGATGTAATTTTAATAATAGTTAATCAATGTTTGCTTTTTCAATTTCAATTTTCTTGTTTTAAGATAGGTGTTCTATTCTTTTTAGTAAAATATCCACTGTATTACGCTTTATGAAGATTCTGTTGAACATTTTGATAGTCTAAATAAACGTACTAATTAATATTCAGTTTTTCTACTACGGGTTTTGATAAGCATCTTTTAATCTCTCACTGTGCACCTGGGTACATGATGCGGGCACACGATGTATCGCACGTAGGATTTATATAGCGTACATAAAGAAGCGTGGGTATGGTGCTCTAAAATCGATATTTAACTTTGTAAAACAATTATTGAGTAAGGTATTTTTTGTTTATTTGTTTTCAATCAAATATATACATCTAAAGTGTTATAGTACACCATTCATTTAAATTCTTAAAAATTTAATATTTTTTAAAGTAACACTTCTTTTGGCGCTAGTGCGACGCGATGATGATAGTGATTTTTTTATAATGCGACGGATTTAGAAGTGCAGTAACGACTAACTTCAGTTAGTAGTTAAATCTCTCTTTAGTATAGTGGTATGCGTAAATGAATTTCCCATTAAAAAATCCGGACAAGTGCAAGTAGAATTCGCACACGAAGGGTCCCGTACCATCGTACATGTAATTTTTATTAATATAGGTACCTTTTACTATGTATGTTGTATATTAATTTCGATGATCGATTATTTTACGTTACGTTAAAAAATTCCTTTTATTCTTATTTTTATGATTTGTTGTTATAGCGGCAACAGAAATACATACTCTGTGATAATTTCGACTCTCTACCTATTACGGTTAATGAGGTACAACTCCCTGACAGACGGGCGGACGGACGGACAACGGATGCATAGTAATAGGGTTCCGTTGGTACCCTTCGGGTACGGAACCCTAGAGAGGTACATAGGTACCTTTTTTACGTTTATTTTTCACATTATATATAAAATAGTTATTACTTTATTACTTAATAAATAATTTTGATTATTTTTGATATAATAATTTTCTATATATTCATGTAAGTAGCAAAAGTTCTTTTTGATTGTCGGTAGCCATTTTCATTTATTAAATAATTATATTTTATATATATTTTTAATGAATTATTGTATTTAATATCTTTATTTTATTATTTTATCGTCGTTTCTACAAATGTATAGTATTGGCACGCAAGATAAAATTTTTGGAGTTTGTTTTGTTATGCCAAAGAAGTAGTATAACTTCTAACGTTTGTACAGAAGTACACACACTTTTTTTTAATATAGGTATACATATTTCTTCTTATTCAACTGTAAGAAACGCTTAGGTATACCCGACGATGTTCACAAAAAAAATTAATTCGTTGAGTAATTTAATTACCGACAACGCAAGTTATTAAGATAAAGAACGATGTTCGACCTTCCTCGTTTTCATAACTGGCTATGATTTATTTACGTTCACCTGATTATGTTGTATATTTACAATAAAAAATCATTTTATACATGTGTAAGAAGGCAAATTTCTGCAATCACATGTTGTTTTAATAACATACATAAAATTATTCAGTTATGCTCTGTATACAGTATCACATATCTAAAATTACCGTATAATTTAAAAAAATACATAGTTCTAATATTTACTTATGAGTATGTAATAAAGTACAAATACGACAAATTATTATTAGCTTTTCATCGATACCAAGTTAAATATAGGTTTCACTGTAAAATTAAGTATAGAAACCCGCAGTGCGCCACAGGGTTCTACGTTTCATTCGAAATAGTACTTTTCCCTATTTAATTTTTACTTGTAAGGGATGGTCCCCTTGTATGAATCGACCAATCCATGAGTTTTACGCACAATTATCATAACCCCAGTACATATGTTCGCGCTTACGTTTATAAATAATAATTATAGAATGTTAAATTGAATAGGGTGCCTGTGTGAGTCTTTTCAAGGTATGTTTAGATTGTGTTATTATATACTCTTTGCTGAAATACAACGACAAATATATATATAACAAGAAAATTTCATAGCTAAAACTTTTTAATATGAAATTATATAAATAACTAGCGGCTCACCCTCGCTTCGCTCGGGTTCGTCGCTAGGTACGTTTTAAATAGATATAAAAAGAAAAAATCTTTCTTTCTCACATTTTAATTATATGTTTTAATACTTACCTATTCCGGACTAAGAGAAATCCAAAAATTAAAATATCATAAAAATTGGAACGCGGTCGAACGGGATAAAAAGTATCCTATGTCCTTCTCCTGGCTCTAAACTACCTCCCTGCCAATTTTCAGCTAAATCGGTTCAGCCGTTCTTGAGTTATAAGCGAAGTAACTAACACGACTTTCTTTTATATATATAGATATACAATCATCAAAATTATTGCTAAAGGTTTAGAAAGAAAATATTTAACCTTTATAATAAAAGATGGACGCTAAGTTACTTTTATATATGTAAAAATTGGCCACCGTTATAATACATTTATATCAATTTAAGCAAATCACGTCTGTGTACTGACTCTGAGTGTTTAATTAACGAAATTTCCAGCTGGCCCACTATTTTAATTGCCCGGTGTTGTGACACGAGTTTTGTAACATTTTGGAATATTGCCTTTGTTCTCGGGCGCAGCCAACGCGACCGCTACGGAATAATAGCGGTTATTTGTTTATCAAATACGCATTAAAGCTTAGAATATTCATGGTCATGTTAATTTAAAGAATAGAGATGTCGTGTGAAAGAGTCGTTGGATCCAAATGATATTAATTTTGATGTTACAAGCGGTTTGTAACGCCTCCAAATCGTTCGCTCTAATGACGCTAGTTCGTATAATGACTCCCAATCGTCCGATCTTCGTCAGCCATTTCTTAAAAGTTCCAGCACTTTGGAATTTGGAAGTGCTTGATATCAGATTTATAACTTAACCTTATTTCCTTTTCTTGTATTAGATTACTTATATATTTTTAAATAATGCAGCTCCTTACAAGGACCATTCTTTTAAATAAACTTTTATGTACAGTATATATACCTATTACATTTAAAAATAAAATCGTCGCTCATAAATGTGGTCAATAAAATCATACTTTTTAATTTCTAATTTTGCCCTGTATAACTTTGTCATATATATTAATTTTCTTTATTTATATACAGGTCGAACGTTAAGCAGCGGCAGCGGGCAAGTGTGCAGGCCGCACTTCCACACGCCGTTGCATCCTTGGCTCGATTCGAAAGCCTTGGGTAGCGGCGCATGGGGTAGCGGCTTTCAACAGGACGCAGCACCCTCTGATAAACCTTTATCTCCTGCCCAGCATCCTCATCCCCATCCCTTATTTTCCTTCCCTCCTACGCCACCGAAGGATTCCACTCCCGACTCCGTCGCTGCGGCGGCACTCGGACAACAAGACTACCAAGCGGCCGTCGCACATGCAACGGCTATGAGCGTCGCGTTCATGCAGCAGCAGGAACTACCGCTCTGTGACGTGAAGCCCATGATGGGCGCACCCCCCGCGAAGCAAAGAGAAGGTGCGCAGCCAGACTCGTGTCCCCAGGAGAGTCAGCCCTCTGGGGAATACAACCCTCAATACAACGCCGCCGCCGGCGACTACTACAACTACCAAGGGAAGGGTTATAGTGGGCAGCAGCAGAGTAAACCGCGACCGAACAAGACGCGAACTAGCGCCGGTGAGTCCGCGCGGACTTTACGCACTCGCACACTCGCACTTACACTGATAACTCGCTTATCCGATCACTAAACTTCCCAATTTATGTTATTGAGCACTTTAAAAGATGTTATTGCATTTGCCACAAACATCTTTTATGTTCATCGTATTTTTCATTATTTTCAAAATTTTTATCGGCTTAACAATGAAATGAAATAATCATGCCGTTCTTTTGATTAGTAACAGGATAAGCTCTAAAGTAGTGATAATTAGAATCGTAGCGCGGTGTTATATCGATTGCGATAATTAATTCGATAATAACATAATATTCCAATCGAGTTATTCGATTGTGTTTTTATGGCACGATGTGATCTGATAAGCGGGGATGCACTGGAGATGATTACACGGTTTTTGTACATCACAGTGGTTTCTTATCACGAATAACGCTTGGATTAATTGCTAAATCGGTGGAGGTTACTAACATTGCATAATATAATATTTCGTAAAAATACCTACTAATATAAACAATAAATAAGGCGCCATAAATCAATATTCATATTTTTTCGTACATTGTACCTTATAACTTGACATAAGATTTTAGATTTTAACCAAAAATCTGTCTAAAATGTTATATGAATTAATCAATGACGAAATGTTTAGTCTTATCATTTGCCGGATGCTTTTAACGGTTACATGTCATTCCTATCACAGTAAAATTCAAGCAATATATTATACAAACAAATACAATAATTTCGTTTTGGAATAAATTTTAGTACTTATCTAAACATCTCATTATCTTTTGAAACAGTTGTTTTATTATTGCAACAAAAAAATCTTATAAGTCGGTAGGTATATATATAGAACATTAACATCCATACTAATACATATATAATATTATAAATGTGAAAGTGTGTTTTTTTGTTTGCCCTTCTTTCACATCGAAACAGAGTGACAGATTGGCGGTGATTTTTTGTGTGGAGATAGAGGGATATAGAGTGACATAGGCTACTTTTTACCGCGGGAGATTATCTCATTCCCACAAGAAAAAAATATTTATGATCAGAATTACTTGAAATATGGTATTAATACTCTTCTTTACAATTAAATAAATACGTATTATAGCATTTTTAGAAATTTATCGCATAAGGAGAATAAAGCTTGTATGAAACCGCTGTGTCTGCTAGTATAATATGAAAATAATAATATAATATAAATATAAAAATTCTTTAATTAAATTAAATTTTTTAAACAAAAGAAAAATCATTTTTATTAAATAAGTAAGCAAACAATATAAAAGATCAAAACGTAGCGATTTTATTCATGAACATTCACACTTAATTTCTTCTACTAGATAAATATACGAATTGAGTTATAAAATAAAATAAAACTTGATACCTAACACTAATTAAGTTCTGTACATTATAAATCTACATATAAGAACAATTCTTGACAACACTCGTAGCTTTTTCTTAGCCGCCGTCGTTTCCCATTACCTAATTGCAAAGCTATTGTTTTTACGTGAGTAATTTACCACTAAGCGGATTTCTATTTAATTTTTAATACAATTTTCAAAATTCCCGCTTACGAAATCGTCCATTCATCTGTATTTGCTTTAAATTTAAATATGTAAGAGTTAATCAGCGTGAATCAACTTATATTTTAATTATATTACTTGCATACTTATGCTTTAACGAGTCAATTAAATACAATAAAAAGGATATATAAAAAAGGTATACTTTTATTAATAAATTTATATATATATTTTATTATTTGATAATTTATTCTAAGAATTTATTGTTGTATTTTACATACAAACAGATCTAACAAACCTTTGAATTAGATAACTATTGTTTGAATGTAAACGTCATAGACACTTTTCGGATTTATAATTAAAACTTAGATTCGCGTAATATTGTTCCACTGACCTTTGCAGCTAATGCGACCATTGTTGCCCCAACAATTGGAGCGAGTTTTCGCAATAACAAGCACAATAATATGACGAATATTCATATTACTCAACAGTAATTGTATTACGCTCACTTTATTTTATACATAAATATGTAATTATAACTCTCATAGTTAAGCTTTGACAATGGAAGGGAACAAAAAGCGCTCATTTATTGTGTCTCATTACGGACTAAAATTTACATGCTAAAGCCAACATTCAATTGGAAGCAATTATGGTTATTCAATATTTTGTGAAGTTTCAGTTCATATTAAAATGTTCCGATCTCACGAATGGATCTAATCTCGTTGGGTTTCTCATACATAATTAGAATGATAGAGAAAAAGTCGGCGTTAATTGCGGCGTAAGAAAAAGTTGAACTATGTTGTCAACTGGCGGACTCATGTTTATATCATAAGCCGGATCGTACCGGAAGTAGGGTTCTTACAGCTAGTATTGTAATTTATACGATAGTTGCCTATTGACAATGTCATTGGAATAATAAAATTGCGGATCTCGTGGATGCTGTGTTGGAATGCAATGACATAAGATATCAAATTATTTTTCTATACAGCCATTAATCATCATTTATTATCTAATCAAGTAATTAAATTTAAATATTTAATACATCACACAGTAGAGCCGCCAAAAATCTAAGAATAAGTCCAATTGTTTTGTATAAATAACATTTTTATTAATTAATAATTATATATAAATAAGTAAGTGTATTTTTTCGATTCGTTGTCCTTCGTAGAGTATTGATGTAATTTTTCCGTAGACATAATAATTTACTGGCAAAATATACTACGTATAAGTCACTTTTTATCTCGTATATCTAGTAGATTTCCAAAATTTAATCTGTTTTTAAAGTTATCCAGATGAAGCCAAGGCACGTCGCAAGTCACTACATATTATAAACAAAGTCCTCCACCGCGTCTGTCTATCTGTCTGTTCACGATAAACTCAAAAACTACTGCACCGATTTTCATCTTGTTTTCACTAATAGATAGAGTGATTCTCAAGGAAGATTTTCGTATATAATTTGTTAAGTTTTTGTATACATTGGCTAAAATATAACGATATTTGTTGGAGGTGTCGGAAAAAAATAAGCTGTCTAGGAGCTTTCAACGAAAACGCTGCGTTAAACCCTTTGAGATATAACAAAATAATGTATGGTGGAATTGTGTATCTTATATAGGTCTACAGAAAAGTCCACGATGGCATACGTCTATCTCTTAAGGATAACATACTATATCCATTTTAAACGTACCTAGGAACGAACCCGAGCGAAGCGAGGGTGAGTCGCTAGTATATTACATTTTTTAATGATTCATGAACTGAATTATTATTACATTTAAAATATTTACTGATGAAATCTGAACAAAGAACAAGAAGTATTATGCCATTTGCATTCTCGAAACAGAAATAAACATCGAAATAAGCAAGTGAGTTTATTTTACTTACGTATAAACTTAAATTATTATTACGGTCTTTATAATAATTTTGTATAATGAGCATTACCAACCGGTTTTCGAGTGGACTCGTTCTTGTTAGCATTTGTAAAAAACAACATTACCTACTTTTAGATAATTGGAAATTGAGTTACTCTTTAATTTATTCTGGTACACTTTAAATATTACTATTATTTAAATGGAACTGTCATAACTTTTACAATTATTAATTCGATATCTCAATAATAATAAGCTAATAATATTTAATAATTTACTAACATCCTGCTGTGTTATTAATTTTTAATACACATCCTACAACTTAATGAAATCACTGATTATCATTTAGTTTTATGTTTCAGATCTTTAATGTCTGATAAAATAGGTATATATTTAAACAGCATTATATTAAAAAACTAAATTTAAATCGCTTCATTCGTTCGAGAGCTATGATGTCATAGACAGACACACAGACATACACGTCAAACTTATAACACCCCTCTTTTTGCGTCGGGGGTTAAAAAGGGGTCCATGCTTGATTTTATTGTACGGGATATTTCTTGCAAAATTGTAGGTAAATGTCCCGACCTCTAACAGTAGGTTCAAGGAAAATATCACTAAAGCCTTGCATGAGTTAAGCAGCAAGCCTTACGAATATAACTTTTATTTAATATATTTTTATATTTTATCAAGTTTATTATGTTAAGCAAATCATAAAACAGATTAAGTTACATATTATAAGATTTTAATTTCATAGAAACACGAGCGTCGATCAAGTTACTCTTAAAATAGCCTGACAAGAATATTGTTGTTAGGAATCTGTTGATCATACAAGTATTGTAGAAATTAAACTTTAATAGCTTTGTTGACATTTACAATATAGTTATGAGCACGTTCAGGTCTGGGCATAAATTTATTAAATAAAAATGCCATTTAGAGTAAAATACCAGCTATTATAACAGTATCCCGAAATAATTTTCTCTCATATTTTCCTTAAAAATTAATCAATATAAATCTTTTATTTGTCTTATTTAATTAAAAAATAATAAATATCAATTAAGTTTTTCATATTAACAAATTAAAACAAATTAAAAAAAAAACAATACGTCAAGGCACAAATATTTAAAATGTAAAGTAACGTATAAATCTGGATTGTAAAGGAATTCTCAGTATTTACGCCCGACCTCTAAAACTAGGTTCAAGGAAAACGTCGCGAAAGCCTCGTTCGATTTTAGCAGGATGTCTATACATTGCAAGGTCGGTGCTGACATCGAACATGATCGTATTATTACTATAAACATATTTATTAAATATTTTAAATATAAATTTAATGAAAAAAAATTAAAAATGATTTATTAATAAAAGAGTTTTTAAAGACATTAAGTCCGTTGTTGGGACATCCTTTTAAGTACATATATATACCTATAAATATACTTAATTATCAAATTAAAAGCTTTCAACCGCCATTTTTAACGTAAAATCCTACCTTATTATCTACATAAAAGCTTCAATATTTTTTTCTATTTTCGTATTTTACATTGTAATACTAGACTAAAGAGATTGCAATATAATACTTTCTTAGATTTACGCGAATATTTGACATTTTAAATAAAACTATCTTTTCGGATT